TTTTTTCAGTGGAAAATACCAACATGAAAAATCTTGGAAATCGACCTACAAAAACTGAATTAGTTGAAAATACAGTCTCACACATTCCAAAGTTTTCCTGGAAAACTAGTGAAGGGAGGAAACTTTTTGTATGTAAAGAGGAAGGTGAGAAGCTCATTTTCACAAAATTTTCCCAAAATTTTAAATTTTTCCAGTAGAAAATAACAACATAAAAAATCTTGGAAATCAACCTACAATAACTGAATTACTAATTGAAAATACGATCTCACATATTTCAAAGTTTTCCTGGAAAACTAGTGAAGGGAAAATTTTGAAACTTTTTGTATGTAAAGAGGAAGGTGAGAAGCTCATTTTCCCAAAATTTCAAATTTGTCCAATGGTAAATAACAACATGAGGAATATTGGAAATCAACTTGTATGTATGTATGTGTGTGTTGGAGGTGTCAGTTGCACTGCGACCAAGGTTGATCTATTGTACCCCTCCTTCTGCTGCTAAGTTCGGGTTTCCTGCTTAAAGCAGCCCCTCTAGTCCTAGGTCCTTTAGGAATTTTAGGATGTCTAGCGGTTCCAGGGCTGGAATGTCTTCCAGCTGTATAAGGGGACTTCCCAAGTTCTTCATTCTTGAGCGGCTTACGGCATCGCAGTTCAGTAGAAGATGGTGAGGTGTTTCTTCACCGTCTTCACAGAATCTGCAAGTGTTACCTTCTTCCAACCCCAAATTATGTAGGTGCTTATTCAGTCTGTAATGTCCCGAGACAAACCCGGTTAGAGTTTTGAGACTTTTCTTGCTAAGGTTGACCAGCAGTTCCGATCTTTTTTGGTTGTAGCTGCCCAATAGATCTTTGGCCTGTCGTAGTCCTGGTTGGTCTAGCCATTGTTTGTTCCTTAGCCGGTTCTCTTCCTTTTTGAGGATTTCTTGGAGGTGCGCATTTCCGACGCCGCAGAATGGTTCTGGCCCAGTGAAGGGAGTGACCGCTCCTGTTTTTGCAAGTTCGTCTGCGCATTCATTGCCCTCGACTCCTTTGTGTCCAGGAACCCATAGTAGGGTTACTTTGTTTTCCTTCCCCAGCTCATTGAGTTTCTGTAGACATTCCCATACTATCTTAGAATTGATTATCGGCGAGCTCAATGCTTTGATAGCTGCTTGGCTGTCAGACATTATTACAATTTCTCTTTTTCGGTACCTTCTGTTCAGGTTGAACTGCACGCATTTTCCTATTGCATGAAGTTCGGCTTGGAATATGCTTGGTGATTTGCCCATTGGTTCCGAGTATCTGGTTCGTGGCCCGAATACTCCGGCTCCTGTCCCCTCAGCAGTTTTGGAGCCGTCTGTGTACCATTTGATGGTGTTTGCCTTAAGGGACTGGATACATTCTATGTTCCATCTGTTCTTTGTACTTAGTTCGATGGAAAAGTTTTTCTCGAAACTGAATTTATCAACAATCGCGTCTTTTGGTAAGTCCATGAGGTGTGCACAGTTTGGGAGAGGGAAAGCTCTGCCAAAGTGCGTTTTCCCTCGTAGACTTATCTTCGCCAGTCTTAGATATGATTCAGTGGCAACCCGCTTCACTGTTGTGTGAAGTAGTGTTAGGTCTAGGATGACTTCCATTGCCGCGGTTGGGCATGTTCTCATTGCTCCTGTTATGCATAGACATGCGAGTCTTTGTACCTTTGCTAGGGTTTTCCTAGCCGTTACTAGCTGGGTTCGGCTGTACCAGGCTACCGCTCCATAGGTGATGATAGGTCTCACTATCATGGTATACATCCATCGTAGGATCGATGGGTTACAACCCCACGTTTTGCCCGCAATGTTTTTACATACCATGAGTGCCGAAACTGCTTTGTTTGTTATGTTCTCTATGTGTCGGTTCCAAAGGAGTTTAGAGTCTAGGGTTATTCCTAGGAATTTAACTTCTTGTTTCCAGTGAAGCCTGCTTCCATCAAGGCGAATGTTCCTCAGGTATGGGAGTTTCCTTCTTTTTGTAAATGTTACCAGTGTGGTTTTTGATGAGTTAAGGCTCAGTCCCACAGTCTGACACCATTCCTTCGTGGTTTGGAGTACTTTTTCTATAAGGTCACAGAGTGTTCCTTCGTGTTTGCCTCTGACTATGATGACAATATCATCGGCGTAGCCAAGGCAGTTGAAGCCCTGGTCTGTCAGTGTATTTAGTAGATCATCGACTACTAGACTCCATATCAAGGGTGAGAGTACCCCTCCCTGTGGACATCCTCTCGTTGTGATGACTTGTATGGTTTGTTCCCCCACATCCGTTTCAGCAGTTCTGGTGGCTAACGTTTCACACATCCAGGTGGATGTGGTTTTGTCCACTCCTTTTCTGACAAGCGCATTCTTTATTGACTCATCAGAGGTGTTATCGAAAGCACCCTCTATGTCTAAGAAGGCACAGATGGCTACTTCTTTATTCAGCAGTGTGTTTTGGATGCTGTCCGTGAGTTCAAATAGAGCGGTTTCTGTTGATCTGCCCGCTCTGTAAGCATGTTGCCTAGGGTGTAGTGGCGTCTTTTCTAGAACATTTGTTCTGATATAGTTATTTACAACTTTCTCAACTGTCTTCAGCAAGAACGACGTGAGACATATAGGTCTGAACGACTTCGGTAGAGTGGCATCCTTCCTCCCTGCCTTTGGGATGAAAGTTACTTTAGCTCTTCTTCATTGACTGGGTATGTATCCGGTCGCAAGGCTTTATTTAATGAGTTTGATTAGATACGGCATAATTTCATTTTGCCCTTTTTGCAACAGGGCTGGAAAAATGCCGTCTACTCCAGGTGATTTGAACGATTGAAATGAGTCGATCGCCCAAGCCAGCCGCTGCGAAGTGCAAAGGTTCTTGGCAACCTCCCAGTTTTCTTGCCTGGTTTTTCTGTGCCGTTCTTTGTTTTCTTCAGTACCATTGGGTATGCTTCCTGGAAAATGGGTTTCCAGTAGTAGAGCAGCTCGTTGCTCTTCATTTTCTGTGTAACTACCGTCTGGTTTCTTAAGTGTCAATGGTCCTTGCGCCCTGCCTTTTGCCAGGGTTTTGTATAGCCTGGCTGCTGATGGTGTTTCTGTGATAGATTCACAGAAGTTCTGGAAGTTTTTACGTTTGGCCTTCCTTAATTCTCTGTTGTACTCAGTCAGCTTTTCGGTGTAGCCCTGCCATTCTCCGTCGCGTTTGGCTCTGTTAAAGAGACAGCGCACCTCGGATCTAAGTCGTAACAGGTGACTATTCCACCATGGGCAACCTTTTTTGTTTATTTGTTCCTTTACAGGACAACTGGATTCGTATGCCTCCATGATTGCTCCGTTAAGGATTTGAAGGGTTTCTTCTGCTTCACGTGTGCTCCTGCAGCTAACCTTATTTTGTTTGAGGTTGCGTTGCAGTTTGCTTGTGTATTCTTCCCAGTTTGTGTTTCTGGGGTTTCTATACGAGGCAGTTCGTTCCTGCACTCCTTTTACTTGAAATATTATGATTCTATGATCAGAGAGAGAGGGTTCATTTGAAACTCTCCAATTCCTGATCATTTGGATGATATTTGGACTACAAAGTGTTATGTCTAACACCTCCTGTCTGACCCTAGTAACAAATGTTGGTGTATTCCCTACATTTAGTATATTCAGGTTTGTTTGAAAGATAAATTCTAACAGTTGCTCACCTCTTAGGTTTGTGTCGGTACTTCCCCAGATAGTGTTGTGGGCGTTGGCGTCACAGCCAATTAGGAGCGGTAGTTTGTTCCTGTTGCAGTACTCGACTAGTCTCTCTACTTCTTCTGGTGGTGCTTGCCTATCTCCAGCGAAGTAGCCTGATGCCAGTACTACCAGTGGTGGGTCGGTGGTAAGTTTAACCCGAACCGTAACCAAGTCCCGCGACGTAAATTCTGAAAGACATAAATGATTAATATTTTCATTCAGGAGAATGCATGCTCTAGGGTCGTTACACCGACTGTCCCAGATTATTTTTGCCCCTTTACTTGACAGGCCTTTGATCTGCCCCTTGTGTATCCAAGGTTCTTAGATTAGTACGGCTCCCAAATGTGCCGACGTGAACAACCGCGCTATGGCAGCGGATGCTCCCTTAGCGTGATGCGCGTTCACCTGGGCTATTGTGGTGTAATTCGCCATCTTACCTGTTATTGTTGTTTCTGGTGTGGTGGAGTGATGACCTCCTAATCGCCCAGAAGCATTTTTTCTTCCTCACTGGGAACTTCCTCTGCCGGAGTGAGAGTTTTCTCTCCCTCCTTAAGGCCTTCGTCCTCTTTCCCTTCGTCTTCTTCTGAAGGAGACTTCGGTTTGGATTCCGAGGAGGTGGGCTCGTTCAGTTCCTCGTTAGCTCCTTCTTTATCCTCTCTCTTCTTTAGGCCGTGTACGGGGATTTTCCCGAACCTATAGAAGAGGTTGTACCCCATTTTCCTAATGGTCTCGCAGGACCCATCGTCTATGCCGATGTTGAGTAACTGATGGTTTGCCCCTTGCATTTTCACGTAATTTGAGGAAAAGTATCAAAAATAAAGACAAAGAAAAAGTTGAAAACAATTCCAGAATGTATTGAGACAATGCAATGTCACGTAAAACTATGTTATAAAAATGAAAAATCCCATTAAAATTCTTTAGTCAAGTGCACAAAGAGGAAACGCATATGCAAATGAATCGACCCAAAATGAATTCATAATCACACCATGAAAAAAAAAAAATGGGTTACAATTAGCATATAATTAAAACGCAAAAACCCATTCACGTGATATCGTTGTGCCATTATTTAACAATCGCCGGGACAATACAAACAACCAAATCTAACTGTACTTTTGATTCGCTAACAACAAAGTTCAATAACAACATTGATAATTTCTAAGGCCTAATCCCTACTGAAACGTTTTTTATATTATTACATCAACCAACCAACTTCTTCTTTATAAAATATATAAGACATTCCTTTGCTGAAGACTTTGGTTGCGCGAAAGACAAGTTTGGTTCACTAGGCAACCGGAGGTCGTTGATACCGTGGCCTCAACCAAGAACGACGACCGATTTATTATTGCGCAACATTTTGCCACCATCAGAAAAAAATCCTACCTGTCATTGTCATTTTCATCATCAAAATTTCCAGTCGCAATGACATCGAAAGAATTCAAGCAAACGGCCAAAACGGTTCGTACGAATTTCCAAAAACACGCCCGAGCCATGGACAGCGACATACAAATGCTGATTCATTCATTGCTGGATGTGATTGATTCGAAAATAGTTGCCCTCAAAAAATTGCTGAAATTGCGAGCTTATATACACAATATTGCTGCCACTGATTATATAGTCGATGAACCAAAAACTGATTCCTTAGAAGATTTTTCTTCAATGATTTATGAAGCTGACCAAAACTCTTTACCCAGTGACAATGACGAGCAAAAACGCAAATTCCAAGCAGATATTGCTGACTTAAAAAGCCTTTGCCAAAACCCCAAGAAGACTTTGGACAAATACATTTATTTGTCGGACATTAAACCTCAGCAATTGCAGGAAACCAAGGACAGTTTGGTGCATTTGGGCAAAGCCGATTACGAAAGTGTTTTGGACATATTGAATATGGTATTGAAATCTTATAAATTGCAAGAAGATGTTAAGTCCAGAAGGACAAGGTCTTTTGTGGATAACAATAATAATAATAATAATGGACAAGAGATAGGTGGCAGGAAAATTGCTTCGGACAGTGTTTGTTTGGGTGCTAGAAAATTGAAGAATATTAAGAAGCATACTTGTAGTGTTTAGCAATTTTAACAAATTAACTATTTTTCAAAAACAATATTTATGTATAGGTATATTCATGGTTCTGGCTCTATCTTTACAAATTCTCAGCTCAATTATTAAGAAATTTTAGCTTGAATTATAATTAGTAAAGAAAATAAATATGCAACGTTATTAAAAACCCATTTTTTAAGAATATTATGTTTTGCCTGTTTTCTGTTTTTGATAATATTAGGATTATGATGATTTTCCACATTCATCTTTTGACAGGTGATCTTTATCAACATTGTGTCCATTTTCTTTCAAAATCTGTACGGTTTTATGGCACTTGTGTATGTGTATGTGTGTGTTGAAGGTGTCAGTTGTACCGTACCACGTCCAAGGTTGATCTATTGTACCGTACCTCTCCTTCTGCTGCCAAGTTTGGGTCCTCTGCTTAAAACAGTCCTAGGTCCTTTAGGAATTTTAGGATATTTAGCGGTTCCAAGGCTGGGTCTTTCCACTGTATAAGGGCACTTCCCAGGTTCTTCATCCTTGAGCGACTAACGACATCGCAATTCAGTAGAATCTGAAGGTGCCACCTTCTTTTTACCCCATCTTCTGTAGGTGTTTCTTAAAGTCTGCAATGTCCCGAGAGAAACCCGGTTAAAGTCTTGAGACTTTTGTTGCAAAGGTTGACCTGCAGTTCTGATCTTTTTTGGTTGAAATTGCCCAATAGATTTTTAGCTTGTCGTAATCCTGGCCTAGCCATTGTTTGTTCTTTAGCAGGTTCTCTTCTTTTTTAAGAATTTCTTAGAGTGCGCACTTTTGACACCGCAAAATGGTTCTGGCCCACTAAAGGTAGTAGACGCTCCCGCTCTTGCGAGTCTGTCTGCGCATTGAAGTAAAACATACTTAAAATTTAAGCTGATCAAACCGCTAATAGTAAAGTTACAAATTTTCTGAATTAGGCAAAAATTAATACATTGACAAGCCTCTATTTTGGAATTTTTACCTCAAAAACTATCGGGTGCTTAGAGATGAAACTTTGAGGCTCTATTCTTGAAGGTTTCAGGTGAAACATACTAAAAATTCGAGGTGATCAAACTGTTAATAATATAGTTACGAATTTTTTAAGTTAGGCAAAAATGAATACATTGATAAGCCTCTATGTTCGAATTTTTACGTCAAAAATTATAAAAGGCTCAGAGATGAAACTTTGAGCCTCTATTCTCGAAGGTTTCAGGTGAAACATACTAAAAATTCAAACTAATCCAACCGTTAATAATAAAGTTACGAATTTTCTAAATTTGACAAAAATGAATACATTGACAAGCCTCTATTTTGGAATTTTTACCTTAAAAACTATCGGGAACTCATAAATAAAATTTTGAGGCTCTATTTTTGACGGTTTGAGGTAAAAAATAATAAAAATTCAAGCTGATCAAACCGCTAATATTAAAGTTACAAATTTTTTGAATTAGGTAAAAATGAATACATTGATAAGCCTCTATGTTCGAATTTTTACCTCAAAAACTATCGGAGGCTCAGAGATAAAATTTTAAGGCTCTATTCTTGAAGGTTTCAGGTGAAACATACTAAAAATTCAAGCTGATCAAACCGCTAATATTAAAGTTACAAATTTTCTGAATTAAGCAAAAATTAATACATTGACAAGCCTCTATTTTGGAATTTTTACCTCAAAAACTATCGGGGGCTCAGAGATAAAATTTTGAGGCTCTATTCTTGAAGGTTTGAGGTGAAACATACTAAAAATTCAAACGGATCAAACCGCTAATATTAAAGTTACAAATTTTCTGAATTAAGCAAAAATTAATACATTCACAAGCCTCTATTTTGGAATTTTTACCTCAAAAACTATCGGGGGCTCAGAGATTAAATTTTGAAGCTCTATTCTTGAAGGTTTGAGATGAAACATACTAAAAATTCAAGCTGATCATACCACTAATAATAAAGTTACGAATTTTCTAAATTTGACAAAAATGAATACATTGACAAGCCTCTATTTTGGAATTTTTACCTCAAAAACTATCGGGGGCTCAGAGATTAAATTTTGAAGCTCTATTCTTGAAGGTTTGAGATGAAACATACTAAAAATTCAAGCTGATCAAACCGCTAATAATAAAGTTACGAATTTTCTAAATTAGGCAAAAAGGAATACATTGACAAGCCTCTATTTTGGAATTTTTAGCTCAAAAACTATCGGAGACGCAGAGATGAAATCTTGAGGCTCTATTCCTGAAGGCTTGAGGTAAAACATACTAAAAATTCAAGCTGATCAAACCGCTAATAATGAAGTTACGAATTTTCTAAATTAGGCAAAAAGGAATACATTGACAAGCCTCTATTTTGGAATTTTTAGCTCAAAAACTATCGGAGACGCAGAGATGAAATCTTGAGGCTCTATTCCTGAAGGCTTGAGGTAAAACATACTAAAAATTCAAGCTGATCAAACCGCTAATAATGAAGTTACGAATTTTCTAAATTTTACAAAAATGAATACATTGACAAGCCTCTATTTTGGAATTTTTACCTCAAAAACTATCGGGGGCTCAGAGATAAAATTTTGAGGCTTTATTCTTGAAGGTTTGAGATGAAACATACTAAAAATTCAAGCTGATCAAACCGCTAATAATGAAGTTACGAATTTTCTAAATTAGGCAAAAAGGAATACATTGACAAGCCTCTATTTTGGAATTTTTAGCTCAAAAACTATCGGAGACGCAGAGATGAAATCTTGAGGCTCTATTCCTGAAGGCTTGAGGTAAAACATACTAAAAATTCAAGCTGATCAAACCGCTAATAATGAAGTTACGAATTTTCTAAATTTGACAAAAATGAATACATTGACAAGCCTCTATTTTGGAATTTTTACCTCAAAAACTATCGGGGGCTCAGAGATTAAATTTTGAGGCTCTATTCTTGAAGGTTTGAGGTAAAACATACTAAAAATTCAAGCTGATCAAACCGCTAATAATGAAGTTACGAATTTTCTAAATTTTACAAAAATGAATACATTGACAAGCCTCTATTTTGGAATTTTTACCTTAAAAACTATCGAGAACTCATGAATAAAATTTTGAGGCTCTATTCTTGAGGGTTTGAGCTGAAATATACTAAAAATTCAAGCTGATCAAACTGCTAATATTAGCTACAAATTTTCTGAATTAGGCAAAAATGAATACATTGACGAGTCTCTATGTTCGAATTTTTACCTCAAAAAATATCGGGGGCTTAGAAATGAAACTTTGAGGCTCTATTCTTGAAGGCTTCAGGTAAAACATACTAAAATTTCAAGCTGATCAAACTGTTAATAATAAAGTTACGAATTTTCTAAATTTGGCAAATTCAATACATTGACAAGCCTCTATTTTGGAATTTTTACCTCAAAAACTATCGGGGGCTCAGAGATAAAATTTTGAGGCTTTATTCTTGAAGGTTTGAGATGAAACATACTAAAAATTCAAGCTGATCATACCACTAATAATAAAGTTACGAATTTTCTAAATTTGACAAAAATAAATACATTGACAAGCCTCTATTTTGGAATTTTTACCTCAAAAACTATCGGGGGCTCAGAGATAAAATTTTGAGACTCTATTCTTGAAGGTTTGAGGAAAAACATACTAAAAATTCAAGTTGAACAAACCGCTAATATTAAAGTTAAAAATTTTCTGAATTAGGTAAGAATGAATATATTGACAAGCCTCTATGTTCGAATTTTTACCTCAAAAACTATCGGAGGCTAAGAGATAAAATTTTGAGGCTCTATTCTTTAAGGTTTCAGGTAAAACTTACTAAAAATTCAAACTAATGCAACCGTTAATAATAAAGTTACGAATTTTCTAAGTTAGGCAAAAATGAATACATTGACAAGCCTCTATTTTGGAATTTAATCCTCAAAAACTATTGGGGACGTAGAGATGAAATTTTGAGGCTCTCTTTCTGAAGGCTTGAGGTAAAACATACTTAAAATTCAAGCTGATCAAACCGCTAATAATAAAGTTACGAATTTTCTAATTTAGGCAAAAAGGAATACATTGACAAGCCTCTCTTTTGGAATTTTTACCTCAAAAACTATCGGAGACGCAGAGATGAAATCTTGTGGCTTTATTCCTGAAGGCTTGAGGTAAAACATACTAAAAATTTAGGGTGATCAAACTGTTAATAATACATTTACGAACTTTTTAAGTTAGGCAAAAATGAATACATTGACGAGCCTCTTATGTTCGAATTTTTAGGTCAAAAATTATAAAAGGCTCAGAGATGAAACTTTGAGGTTCTATTCTCGCAGGTTTCAGGTGAAACATACTAAAAATTCAAACTAATCCAACCGTTAATAATAAAGTTACGAATTTTCTAAATTTGACAAAAATGAATACATTGACAAGCCTCTATTTTAAAATTTTTACCCCAAAAACTATCGGGGGCTCAGAGATAAAATTTTAAGGCTCTATTCTTGAAGGTTTGAGGTAAAACATACTAAAAATTCAAGCTGATCAAATCGCTAATATGAAAATTACAAATTTTCTGAATTAGGCAAGAATGAATATATTGACAAGCCTCTATGTTCGAATTTTGACCTCAGAAACTATCGGGGGCTCAGAGATGAAACTTTGAGGCTCTATTCTCGAAGGTTTCAGGTGAAACACTAAAAATTCAAGCTGATCAAACTGTTAATAATAAAGATACGAATTTTCTAAATTAGACAAAAATTAAGTCATTGACAAGCCTCTATTTTCATCTGAAGTTGTAGCTAATTGGGAATTCATTGACGAAGCCGCGCAGCCGTTATCTTCCGTAAATGTATGTATTGCTGCTTATACAACTGCACAGGCCCAGCTTAAACTCCACAGCTATCTGGAATTGCTAGAGGAGCGGGTACTCTACTACGACACAGATTCAGTCATTTTTTCGCACAAAGAAGGCGAATTTAAACCACCTACTGGCGATTTTATCTGCGATCTGACAGACGAATTGGAAGAATATGGAACTGGAAGTTTCATCAATGAATTTGTCTGTGGTGGACCTAAAAATTATGCCTCATTATTAAATTAGGAACTCCAGATGGATACTACGAGCTCTTACGAATGCCATTTGGACTTGTGCTCCTGCGGTTTTTCAGAGAACAACTGGCCCTGCTGCATATCTAGCAACTAGGTGCTTTAAGGAAATTTTTTTAGACATTTTTAAAAGCAATCCTCTTATAAGCAAAATAATGTCCAAGGATTTTTGTGTGGATGATCTGGGGGTAGTACTTTTGACGAAGTCAAACATATTGAAGAGGATTAATAACTAAGGTTCTTAGTTCAGCAGGTTTTGAACTAAGGAAGTTTCATTGTAATGATGCTGAGGTTTTAGGTTTAGCAGACTC